GCAGCAGCAGCAGCAGCAGCAGCAGCCGCAGCAGCCTGGACAGCAGCCTGGACAGCAGCCTGGACAGCATCCTGCCGGTGTTGCTCAGGGTCAGCAGCCGATCCTCAACGTAAGTCGTCGTCGACCTCCCCTCATCTCTTCCTTCACCCTGCTTGCCTGTCATGCTTGGCTCGACGTCGTCTCCGGCTCCCTCCCTGCGTGATCTCTGCCTTCACCGGTCCGACCGGAGAACATCCTCGGTACCGCCGCACGGGCAAACGGGGCTCGCTGCACGCAGGAGTCCCAACCGCTGGGCTTCGCAGCTGGTCGGTGCCGCAGTATCCCGTTCCCGGACTGGGGGTAGAGATACGTGGAAGCAGGGGAGGTGAATGTGGACGGCAGTCTTCCCCCGGAGGAGGCAAAACTTGGCGTCTCTCAGAATCTTATCCAGAGCCGACCACGATGCTGACCCTCGCCACTCTCTCCTACAGGACGCCCTCACCTATCTCGACCAAGTCAAGGTTCAGTTCCACGACCAGCCCGACGTGTACAACAGGTTTCTGGACATCATGAAGGACTTTAAAAGCCAGTCGTAAGTGCACCCGCCTGCTGCTGCGCAGACCATCCCCGACCACGCACGAGCTGACGGGCCTCCTGTAGCATCGACACGCCTGGCGTCATCAACAGGGTATCCGAGCTGTTTGCCGGGCACCCCAACCTGATCCAGGGATTCAACACCTTCCTGCCGCCGGGCTACCGGATAGAGTGCGGCGCGGGCAATGACCCCAACACCATCCGGGTCACGACTCCCATGGGTACGACGATGCAGCAGATCGCCGGCCGCGGAGTCCACGCCGACGTCACCAGCGCCCCCAGCGCCCAGCAGGGATTCCAGGACCGCGGCGCTCAGTGGCAGCGTCCCCAGCGCAGCGTCGAGAGCCCGGAGGCCACATACGGCACGCCCCTCCAGAACGGCTCCAGCCTCCTGGCCGTGGCTCAGGGCGCCTCTTATGAAGGCGCCGCCCAGCAGCGGCACCCTTCCCAGGTACCGGGCGGCGCGGGCCCCGGTGCCCAGGCCGGCGTCCACAGCGCAAACGCACCGGCGCCTGCCGGCCCGGGCCCTGCTAACGGAGCTGCCGGCCAGGGTGCCATGAGCGCAAAGGGCCCTGTCGAATTCAACCACGCCATCTCCTACGTGAACAAGATCAAGGTATGTCACGCACACAAGCAAGTGTTTTTTTTTTTCTGCCCACTCTAGTGTGCGTGTGCGTGCGCGTGTGCGTATGTGCAGTGATGCTGACGTTAGCCGCTGCAGAACCGTTTCCAGGACAAGCCCGAGATATACAAGCAGTTCCTCGAGATTCTCCAGACCTACCAGCGCGAGCAGAAGCCGATCCAGGAGGTCTACGCGCAGGTCACCACTCTGTTCCACGAAGCCCCCGACCTGCTGGAGTCGTTCAAACAGTTCCTGCCCGAATCGGCCGGGCAAGCAAACAAGGCCACACCTGGGCGTGAGGACGGGGCGAGGACTCCCCAGCCCGGCGGCCGGGATGGCCAGAAGATGCCGCCCATCGGCAGCTTCGCGCCCCCGGCCAGCGCCAGCAAGGAGAAGAAGCGCACGCGCGGCCCCGATAAGCAAGGTGTCGGCGCGGCGCCCCCTCCCGCCGAGCCTGCCCCTCCCAGCCGCCCCCCTCCGCAGGCTGCCACCCTCATCAACGGAAATAAGCGTCCGAAGCTGAGCCACGCCCGGTCGACGGCCGACGGGCTGGCCGTCGAGCCCACCCTGACGCCCACCATGCCGGAGCCGTACCCCCCGCAGCCGGCGTCGACGTCGACGCAGGAGGAGATCGCCTTCTTCGAGCGCGTCAAGAAGTACCTGGGCAACCGGTCGTCGATGAACGAGTTCCTCAAGCTCTGCAACCTCTTCAGCCAGAACATCATCGACAAGAACACGCTCTTCCACAAGGGCGTCCAGTTCGTCGGCTCCAACCCCGAGCTTCTGAGCTTCTGGAAAGCCTTTGTCGGCTGCGACAGCCGGGACGTCGTCATCGACAACCGCCCCGCCCCCCCCATCGACAAGGTGTCCCTGAGCAACTGCCGGGGCTACGGTCCGAGCTACAGGCTCCTCCCCAAGCGAGAGCGCCTCAAGAGGTGCAGCGGCCGCGACGAGCTCTGCCAGTCCGTCCTCAACGATGAATGGGCCTCGCACCCTACGTGGGCGTCCGAGGACTCGGGCTTCGTCGCCCACCGCAAGAACCAGTTCGAGGAAGGCCTCCACCGCATCGAGGAGGAGCGCCACGACTACGACTTCTACATCGAGGCGAACCTCAAGTGCATCCAGCTCCTCGAGCCCATCGCCCAGTCGATGCTGGCCATGTCCCCCGACGAGAGGGAGAGCTTCTACATGCACAACGCCCTTGCCGGCCAGACCACGTCCATCTTCAAGAGGATCTGCAAGAAGATCTACGGTGACCGGGGCATCGACGTGGTCAACGACATGTACGCCCACCCGTTCGACGTCATCCCCGTCCTCCTCGCCCGCATGAAGCAGAAGGACGAAGAGTGGCGCTTCTCGCAGCGTGAGTGGGAGAAGGTGTGGCACGCTCAGACGGAGAACATGCACCTCAAGAGCCTCGACCACATGGGCATCCTCGTCAAGTCCACCGACAAGAAGAACCTCACGGCCAAGCACCTGGTGGACGTCATCAAGACCAAGCACGAGGAGCAGCGACGGGAGCGCGCGCTCCGCGGCAGGTCCCCCCAGCACCAGTTCGTCTGGGACTTCAGCGACAAGGACGTCGCCATCCAGCTGCTGCGGTTCGCCATGCTGTACAGCCTCAACGCCGGCCAGCACAGCAGCCAGGAGAAGGAACGCATCCTCGAATTCCTAGAGATGTTCGTCCCCGCCCTGCTCGACATCACCGAGGAGCAGCTCCAGGACAGGCTTCCGCGGATGCCCCTCGACTCGGGCGAGGAGGACGTCGAGGACCACATCCCGGCCGAGCTCTCCAGCGGCCGCAGCCGCCGCAACGGCAAGAAGGGCGACCTCCTCCGAGGCGTCCTGGACCCTGGCCGCAACACGAGCAGGTCCCGCCATCAGAAGGAAGACGGCGCCACCGCCGCCGCCGCTGCCGCCGGCAGCAAGGAGACGACGCCCGACGTCGGCTCCAACGAAGAGGACATGCCCGACGCGCCCGAGGACGGCTCCGGGGCCGACATGTCGAACGAGCGGTGGATGCCGGGCGTCCCCAAGCCGGTGGTGGTGGGTGACGCCAACGCCCTGCTGGACTCGGACGGCGAGCTGAGGGCCGACGGCCTCTTCGCCCGCAAGTGGTACCACTTCTTCTGCAACCAGAACATCTTCGTCTTCCTCAGCATCTTCCAGACGCTGTACAGCCGGCTCCGCGACATCAAGGACAGCGAGAAGACGGTCGGGAAGGAGGTCGAGCGGCTGAACAAGGAGAAGCCGGCGCGCGACATCGGCTTCAACGAGAGCCACATGGACTTCTTCACGCCCGAGGACGAGCCGTCGGCCTACTGGCCCAAGACGGCGGAGCTGATCGAGGAGTACATCGCCGGAAACGTCGACGAGAACAGGTACCACGACATCATGCGCCACTACTACCTCAGCAACGGCTGGAAGCTGTACACGATCCAGGACCTGCTGAAGACGCTGTGCCGCCTGGCCCTGGCCTGCAGCAGCACCGACTCCAAGGAGAAGACGCCGGACCTGATCCAGCAGTACATCAACAACCGAGAGAAGCAGGAGACGAGCTATCAGACGGAGATAAGCGCCAGGAAGTTTGCCGAGAAGTGCGTCAAGGATGGCGAGCTATTTGCGATTCGCTGGGTAAGTCAGAGTCAGATGAGAGACGTGATGCCTGCATGAAGAACGAGAGGGCGAAGAGAGAGAGAGAGAGAGAGAGAGAGAGAGAGAGAGAGAGAGAGACCAGCGTTCATCTCGCTAACATGATGAATAGTTCCCCGAAGAGTCCAAGGCGACGGTGCGCTGGCTGCAACGTGACGAGACGACCTTTTACACGGACGACATGCAGCTCCGTGAGCGGTGGCAATACTACATCTCGTCATTCATCCGGGTGGAGCCGACGGAGGGCATCGCGCGGTCGCGGCTGCAGAAGTCGGTGCTGACGCGCAACCTGCCGTCGGGCGACGCCGAGTCGGACGACGGGGCCATCCCCAAGCTCCTGTCGTACGAGGAGGCCCTGACGGTCAGCATCTGCCTCAAGAGCTCCAAGATGATCTGGGAGCCGGGCACGTCCGAGTACTTCGTGTACGACCAGTCTCCCAAGACGCGGGAGCAGCGGGAGCGTCGGGAGAAGTTCACCAGGGCCCTCAGCAACCACCGCGAGCTGGAGCTGACCAAGAAGTTCGTCCACAACCCCCCGTGGGCAAAGGACATGTCTCCCGAGGAGGTTCAGGAGCAGAATAGCAGTTTCCGCAAGTGGATGGATGACGGTGTAGTCCCATCCGGTTCCAACGATGTCGACATGGAGTGAAGTTTTCATTCCACGTCTACGATTGAAATGGTTTTGTTTTGTTCTCTCTCAACTCTATCCTCCCACCCCCCCCCCCCCCCCCCCCCCCCCCCCCCCCCCC